TATGCCATACCAAACTAATTTCTCCATTAATATGCTGCGATATGCCGTGTGGTTTAGCTTGTTAACAGAAAATACCTCACAGGCAGCGTTCGCTATTACATTTGTGTTTTATAAAATAACTTTATTAATTAACGCAGTGGTTAAAATTTACTCAATATCTCGCATTATATAACAGACAAAATAAAAACTGATACATATTTTGATATGTTTAAATTATAATTTATAAAGTATAAAACAATTTTGGAAAAAGTTTATTTCTAGGCGAGAAGAACCATATAATACAGGGTGAGTACAAAATAACTCGGCACTTCAAAAATGTTACAGAAAACAAATGCGCATACCCAGAAGTTCATTGCCACACCAGTCGATAGAGAAACTCTCAAAGTTCTGTTTCAAATAACCCGGGTGATTGTTGTTATTGAGCGCATCCGCTAGATGCCACTAGTTTCTAAAATGGCTACCCCCACAACAGAGGACATGGTGTCTTGTGCGGTTAGCGAAGAAAGAGCCTGTAACAGCTGTGAAACGCGTATTGCGCACAAAATTTCACATGGAACCACCGAGCCGAGCATTCATTTTTGCCTGGTACAGCCACAGCTTCCACCACTGGGGGCACTCCGCACAAAGTTTGGGGCGAGTTCGATTATCGTCCCGACATATGCCACGTGACTCAAGGACCACATGTCTGGTCTCCGTGACGTATGTGCAAAATTTTGAGTTTTGCTTTCGTCGACTGGTGTAGGTGTGAAGTTTTAAGTAAGCCGCATTTGTATTCCGTATCATTTTAAAAGCATAAAAATCTTTTGTGCTCACCCTGTGAATATTATGCAATATGATATCAAGATGTTTTAAGCTGCCGCTATTATAATCACGAAATAAACTTTAGCGTAATGCACAGAGCACGACATTCGATTATTTTGAAAAGAAAGAGATAAAATGGCCATTTCACGTCACCTCGATGACTTCCAAAATAATCCCAACTATAGGACAAAGATTCCATCGTCTTCTTACTATACAAAGCAAATGTATTTAGTCAGCTTGTGGGTGATTTTCTGAACGAAATAAACCCAATCGATTACTGTTTAACTACTAACGATGTTCGATATCTGTAACGCTCGTGTTAATCGACACCAGGTGCCTCGTGGCTATCATAATAGGCCACGTGTTCAATTACAATTGCCGCTGATATTAATAACATTAAAATAACTGAACAAGTATCTAAATCTAATTATGAAGGCTAATTAATGACTAAATGAGATCTGTATACATATTAAGCTCAATGCATATGCATATGCTATAAATTTTAATAAGTACCAAAGGATATGTGGGAAAAACACAGGACATTGCATTTTATGCAGTCATTGCGATGAACATATTACATTAACTCGCTAACTAACTAACTAACTAACTGACTAGCCATGTAAGTCCACGAGTAGTCGGTCTTTCAAGAGCTGCTAATAGTACACTCATCCACTGAACATATTTTCCGCATTTGTGAAACGCAGACGTTCATTAACGGAATCAACACTGTACCTGTCTAACAAGTCTTGCCGACAGTTCGTCTCAAAGAACAAGCTCGTAGTCCTTGGCCGAGAGGTTTTTCACTTTTGCCTCGCATTCTGGAGGTTCCAGGTTGAAATCTCGGGGCGGAGACCGGCTCTCCCTACGTTTACAAGACACGGAGCTTCGTGAGGCTTGACCTTTTGACATTGCGAGGCTGGATACTTAAAACAGATCGCGGTAAACTGGATTTGACAGAAGTGAGGACCATGACAAACACAGATGTTTCCTGTGTTTGTGTTGGATCTTCATAGTTTAATGAAAAGAAAACAAAACGTTTGTTAAATGTTGCTAATGCAGCTTAACAGTATTTTCTGCCATAAAGTTACTGTTTTCTAAATTCAGTCTGCGTTACCTGCCCCATATTTCGCCCCTCCCACGCGACACGAGGCGTCTTCCAGCGACAGAACAATTCAAACAATCTCGCAGATTCATGAGAATCAGTTTTCAGAGAATTATCAGCTACAGGGTCACGTGCAGGGATCGGGCGACTGCTTAAGTCTTGTGCCGTACACAACTTGTAACGGAGGACAAGTCGCAAACAAAGTGACACGAAGAAGTTGTGTTCAACGTCTCGGTTCGCTCCTACTGTAACACAGTGAGTACTCGAATGCAGATGCTTTATATTAAATGCTCCAAGTAAAATATCACACAGCCATTTAAAAGCGGATGTTAACTAATAACAAAACACAAATATAGCGAGCACGAAGATGGCCGCCTTCACGTTTCAAAGTTGGCTGCTGCCTGCAGCGTCGCCAACGCGGGCATTTGCTCCGTTCTGATCGTCAGCTAGACACTTCAAACGTTTCGGTTTCACTTCAAAAGTACAATTTAAGACCGACAAAATTTAGTTCCTGTAGTCGGTTGTGAGGTAATAAGCGAGCGCGCTGAGAAAGTACCTAATTTTGAGTTCAGTTTATGAATTTTGCGCAAATCAGGCACGGGAGCCACGCTCCTTAATGATGGCAGACAACAAATGAACATGACCTGTGTCAGATTTAATTAATATTCGACGTTTGAGGCAACCGACCCCTCCACAGCCCCGGAAGAGGGTAATCCGTTCGGAGGTTAGGTACTGAGCTATCGCTGCTGATCCGCCGACCGCCCGAACACTGAAACGATAATGGACGAACATCCATTCATTGAGACAAATAATGATAACATTCAAGGGATGCAGTTGCAATGAGAGAGGCGGTCTGGCGACACAAGAGAACGGGTCCACTGTAACGAGCGCTAACGACTTCTTCACCTCGGACAGAGTTCCGATACTCGGCTCCTCTAACTCAGTTATGCACACGAGTGGAATAAAGTTCTCCTCAGCAACGGCACTTAGCAGCAGAGCTCTGCGTCGAGGGCAGAAAAGAAAAGAACATCGTAACTAAGAGCGTGGCAAGAAAAGTTTTCCGTTTCCATTCTACACTCTCTGCATTGGCGGATAACAAATTTCACGGCACAGCACAGCGCTGGACCGAAGGAAGCTGCATAGAATAGCGAAATAAAACTCTCTTCTAATTAGATTTACTTGCTCCGAGTTACGACTTCGCTGGATAAGATCATCACACAAACATTCCATGAAATCCCATCAGCTTTACTGTCACGTCCAAACAACAAATGCTTCCTATTCCAGACATCACGTGTTCAAATCCTGCCCTGACGACAAAGAATCTTCGTTGTTATTTTCTGACAAATGCTGAGAGAGTCACCTAAAATAGGCCACGACCACCTCCTTATTTACCTGCTGCTAAACATCGTCAAAACTTGGCATATCATTTGATGGTGCACGCACGTGCAGTTCGCCCGTACAGAAATACGACCTCAGCTCTTTCAAGTAATTTCCTGAAAATAATTAGCAGCCTCTTTCAAGGTCCACATTTGTGCTCGTACTCCGCCTAGTTTGCCTCTTTAAGTGTGGACGGTTTAGCGAGCTGTCTGCGTACGCCGGAAACATTCACCACGATCCTCTGCTGCACGAGAAAACCACGAATAAGCCTAGAGTAAGCAGTAACACAGTCCAGTTTGGAATTCCCCGGGTTCCAAAACCAGAGAACGATAAGACAGGACGCCTCTTTCTTTCTTTATTTTTCTCTTCCTGATTTATTCAATCCTTTTCCCCAGTTTCTCTAATTTATTTCCTGGGAAAAAATACATGGTTCACTATAATGTATTGGTTGTTCCATTTCACTGCCTCAAGAGCCAAATTTCGGGAACACCTAAAAGCATTACACTTGCAATAAAACTGCCACAACGAAAAAGATTATAACTGTTTATGCAAGCCCGCGACGCATCGACCAAGGCAGTCGGAACGATCTGTTACGTTCATGCCCGAAAGAGACGCTGAATACGGAATAATTTATGTATAATTCGAAGAGGTAATAACAGGTGTTATAATCTGCAAACTGAAAAACCTTGAAGCCTTAAAGGTATTTTAATTTGTGTATTGGTACACTTGGAAACACGGCAAATATTCTGTTTTGTGCTAGAATACACTGGAGCCTTGGAGGCGTCTTAATTTGTACATCTGAACGCACTTAAGCCTGAAATAATGAAAGACGCTGAACCACAATTTCAACTTACTAAAGTATTCGAACATACAAAAATGACGTCGTTAATAGAGTAGGAATACAAATAATTCAAGTTGACGGAACTTGAACACAGAGGCCGCTGACTATAACATTTTGTCATAAATAAATTAGAAACGCACTCCTTCTCGTCCCCCAGAACTAAAAAATTGGCTTCTGCACGCTTTAACTTAGAATAAGTACAGCTGAAGAACTCTGCGTCGTAATTGAAAACAAATAGGAATGATGTTTCAAAACTTAAATGTCTGACTCGGGTTCCCCTGAAATTATGGGACCCACAACGTACACATGCATGAGTGCATAATCGATAGAGCCATGTGAACATCGCAGACGACACTTATTCAGAAATGTAGATATCGATTTGTTCCTGTGGACCAAAATCCTTCTTGAGAAGGTGGAATTTATGAAGTTGGTAAACAAATCCCATGCAACGCGAAATTCCATTAACACCCTAACAAAAGACCGCCACAGGCCCCTGAAAAGCGCACACAACTTCACCTTTTGTCTCTTTATGTTGCATCTGGAGTTAATCTTCGCCTTCGACTCGGATTCTTCCGTTCAGGCTGTCGAGCTAAAACGCGAATGAATTTACGCTCCCCAAGCTCGTCACTTGTTCCTTGTCTTGGGCACCCTCGTAACAGACTATTCAACGAGCAGTGCACATCATTTTCCTTCCTACGAATTCGTCTCTCCTCCTACCTCTTCCTGTTCATTAGGTAAAATTATTCTCCTCAGCAAACGCCATTTAAAAATAAAGTAAGTACAGTGATGCAATCCTCCTCGCACCTTCATCGGCACAGCAAAATGTCCCGTGAATACAACGGTCCATAGTCCAAGGACGCAGAACTCTGCCAGACTCACCGCTTCCCGGCACGTACAGGTTGAGAAAGAGACAGTCCTCGCTCTGGTTGGCGAGAAGGGGTATGAGTCGCTTCAGGTGGTTGTATCTGCCCCTCGGCATGGTGAGCAGAGCCGCCGAGCGGTTCGAGATGTCCGGATATCGCTGCGGACACACGGCCCCGAACGTATCTGCCAGGCGAGTCCCCGACCAGGCCACGGGAGGCGCCGGGGGGCTGTACCGCAGGTCTCCAAGGGGGGGCGCCGCGTACGGAACGCCTCTGAACACCTCCACGGGCTCCAGATGTCTGGAGTTCAGTTCCAGAATTATCCCTCTGATTGCACCAGCTTTTGTTTCCACGATCCTCGAACTGTAGCGCGGTCCTGCTACCGTCGCTCCGGACAGGAACGCAACGGCTATCAGAAGAAACACGGCTGCTTCTCCAGGAGTATCAGCATGGGGTGCACTGGACCACATGGTCCGTCTATGTGGCGTCACACTTTCCCCTCACCCCACATGCAGTGACCTCTCTACGGCGGAGGGCCACCACCCCCGTCATCTGCGGTCCAGTCGCGCGTCGCAGCAGCGTGATGGACCTTTGAGACGCACTCGCATCTTGCACAACCGGAAACTGAATGACGTACGGACTGGACACTCAACTGTCACATCTCAGCCTGTCATAAGCGACGGGTATCGAACGTGAGGACACAGAAGCAGCAGGCGAATCTAGGACTTGCAGAACTTCCCCTCTTCCCGCTCACCACACGCAATAATTTCGACTGGAGGAAGACTCTCGTATTTTAAACCAACCAGAACAAAGCGCCTCGGCATGGTTACTGCAGAAACAGAGCTTCGCGTTCGTCTCGGCTTCTACAACATTTTTCTCTCACTGCAGACTTTCTGGTGAATTACGCTTGCGGATTGCGGGTGACGCCATCAGACACGTGACCTGAAAGAAGAAAGAATTTGCTATTTTATTCTCAAGGGCCACGCAGCATTCAATTGTGTGTCGTATGTTAATTGGGTCAATATGGAGGCGGCACGGTGCGCTACGACTCCGACATGCCAATAACTTACCTACTTTGCTCTAATCCACACAACCTCTGCAAGCCTACTCCAAGTTTTATATCGTCTGTCATTTCTAGCAGCCACGCCCATTACCACAGAAGAATGCGGCACTTCAGATCCTGCTCAGAGCAGACATGCAGATGTTACCAGAGCCTGAGTGATTGCAGAAGCCATCAAGAACACGCAAGTCCCCCGGGTTTGATACCAGGAAGGCATAAGGCAGTTGACAAAAGGAAAGCAGGTTGATACAATCCGCCTCACTGTCGCCGCCATAATAAAGCCGGCTTAAAAGTGCAACTTTAACTTCCAATAAACGCGTTCTCGTTACGTGAATATACTAACGACGATCATTTCCAACATCTCCAATTCGATATCGATCCTGTGCAGAATTGATGTGTGTACAATTGTACGATGTTCACGAAGATAAAACTACGATTAAATTCCAAGCACGAAGAGTCAAATAACTGCAATCCCTAAACTATTACCACGTTTCACAGCGAGACGCAGGTGTTCTACCGGACTGCAACATCTACTCGTACTTTCATCATCGCATTCGCGATATGACAATTAAGCGGAATTGTCGTCAGATACGCTGTTTCCCATCACGCAGTTCAGAATCGTCCGACTTCCCATAAGCCGAACTAGGTATATACAGGACCATACTTCTGCGGATGACAGAGGACATAAGGTGTGGGTCACAGACCTCATAAATGGGTTGTGAGTTCGATTCTATGTCTCGACACGTATTTTCCGTGTCTTTCTGATTCGTTTTCTCCTGTGGACGTAGAGGCCTTGTACCGGGCCTATGCCCTGTCCAGAGTCCCTGCAAATGTCAGGATGTCTGAGGGACCCAGAAGAGATGACATGAAGGAAAACAGAAGCCAACTGAAAATGAAAAGCTCCACAATTTTTTTTAAACTTTTACTCTTACTAAATACAATTACGGCGATGAAGCTAAGGATAATGAGGTGGGCGGACATGTATTGCGCATGGGGAGAAGAGGACTGCTCACAAAAGTCTGGCCGAAACGCCTGAATTTCATTTTGGAAGCATCTAGGCGTAGGAAGCAACATCACATTAAATTGTGTCTCAGGGAACCGAACTGGATTCATCTGGTCCACGACAGATTATAATGTCTTAAAAGTTCCATAAAACATGCAGAATTTCACGACTAGCTGACAGAACCATCAACTTCTGAAGGTGGTCTCCACTTCAAGGAATCTGTGTTGACTGTTCAGTTAAGAGCCTTATTAACACTAGATCACAACAATAAGCAAAAACCAAAGGTCACATTGAGTAGCCCACTTTTTCCGTCAAGAATTCAGAAATATTGGTTTCATTCGATATGTTCCCTCTTCTTTTACCAATACTGACAACCTTCTGGTAACGAATTTGCGCGGTAAATCTGATATAATTAATAAAAAATTTCAAAATATGTTGCTAACTTTTTCATGACACCTCCAACGAAAAATATGTAAGAATCCTATCACTGGATTCCATCCTCAGGTTGCAAATCTCCACCCGGCTGCAAAGTGTTCTAGATATATCCTGCAAAAATCGAACGACTTGGGTGCGTTTTCAAATTCAGCCTTTCAATTATTAATTGGCTTCCTCGCTGATGTCAAGTACTTTAATGAATGGATTCAATTGAATAAATAAAATTGATTTTATCGTAATCAATATTCTGACTAGTGGTTGGAAGAACACGAAACAGCAATTCTGAGCTACAGGCGCCGTTGTCGTAGTCTGGGACTCACAGAAAACAGACGGACCTGGTGCATGCACATCGGCACTTTTATTCCTTCGTGTGTCCGAATACGCATTGTATTTTAAGGCAGTTTCGTGAAAAAAGTGAAAAACGCTGGGTCGTACCCATTCATTTTTCTCTCTGCATATCTGCGCGCTTATAAGAAAAGTCTCTTGTCGACAGGCGCTGATGAATCGTTACTCAAATCCTTAATCACGTTTGTAACCGCTAACACGTGTCAGATAACGTCGTCTCAAACGAACTGCGTCAATTTCCGAAGAATAATAACACATCATTTAAGTTATCAAATCAAGGTCAAAGGTCAAAACACAGAGCAGACACGGCACACGAAACATTTTAGTCGGGAACCCTGAAAGGAAGACAGGGCGTGAAGGACCCGGGTCCCCTCTACAGGACCTCTTCCGCAGAGAGGAAGCCGAGGAGGGCCGCGTGCTGTTACAAGGTGTTACGCAGTGCGTGCGCGAAATTGTTATAAATGTTTCCGAGAGGGTGCTTCCGCCTTCCGTCAGCCCGGGGCAATCAATCCTGCGATGGAAGAATCGAGGTGTCGGCTTCTTCCGTCGTGTGATGGAAAGGAGGATGGCAGAGAACACCGAAGGAGACGCCACGAGACTTGAGGTTCATTTCTTTCTGCCCTTTTCGCTCAAATTTTGAAACATGCAGACCTCCTTTCAGAGATTTCCTTGATCTAATTAGACATTTGGTAGAACTCCTTGGACGAGTTGCCAGCCCCTCGCAAGACCTCTCTCTGCCCCTGCATAGGAAAACACGACACGGAAAGACGCCGACAAACATCAATGCCTTGAGTGGGATTCAACCCCAGGGCCCAGGTGTCCAAACGCAAGAGGCCCACGCCCCAGACCGCGCGGCCAACAGAATTTATAGGGAACTTACATATTTTGGGGCATTGCCCTAACTTTGTGCGGTGAGTCGTTTTGAAGACACAACAACCAAATCTGCGAAAGTTACTTAATGTAAAGTAGGTTCTATATGTACTCAATACGAACCAGATTAAACTAGCAAATCGACGTTTGCTGCAAACACGACATTTCAAATTTAATTTAAATTCGATTAACAATTCCGTAGATGAAAGAGTCGGAGGAGAGGCGAAATAAACATTCCCTTACGGCCATCTTTTCACGAAATTTGTGCAGAAATAAACAACTTAAGAAAACTATAATATTTTTGAAGTACTAAAAATTGGTGTACATAAAATACATTAAACGTACCAATGAGTAGGAATCTATATCTTACATACGCAACTTGAAAAAGTATAAAGGACTGACGTTTAAGGACTATATTTTTTAATGGCTAGAAATTTCACCAAACGAAACTTCGACTACACACAATTGACTTAAAATCACAGCTTACGACTGCCACTCAAAACTCCATTAACGCAATGGACACTTTTATTTCAGGCCCCGGAACAATACAAATCTCTAAAGACAGAAATGGCGCACGGCTGCGAAGAAGTCCGGCCTCCAACTGGCACGCGCTTTTCGAAACCTACGCTACTTCGCAGTGCGACGTAGTATAGCCCCTCGCCACCCTGCAAAACAGCGACGAAGTGTTAAATCAAACGTTTATATCGAACAACACAACCATTAAAACTTGGGTAAACAAGGAATAAACACGATGAGCTTGAAAACGTTAACAGCCAACATTCGACGAGGCTCACGCCCGGAAGCGGAAGTTTGCAGCGAAAATTCGCCAAGAGTCGGGTAGGCGTATTTTCTAGGCCGGAGTACGCCTTGTCTCTGCTCTGTGTTATGTCCTACGTTCACTTTGCTTTCGCTGTTGACATGTTCCTTCCCATTCTCTTTAGTAGCACGAATCTATTTCACACCATAATTTGTCCTGAGCTCCGTTCGGTGAACTGCGTTCAGTCCACTCTCGACATCGCACGGATGTTTTTGTGTCGAACGAACAAACAAACACGCTACTACGCGGTGGTCGCGCCGTGCTGTATCAGAATCACCTGACGAGAGAAGCTGAAACGAAAGTGGCTGTCAGACGTCAGAGCAGCGGGAAATTTCAGATTTTACCTGCCACCGGACTTGACGATCCTTTAATTTGGATACTCAAAAGCAAAACGACAGTGGAACAAGTACAAGGTGCAACATACTAAAAGGACAGCAATATTTTTTTTAACACAGCTGATCAACAGCACCCAACAGAGACAAACAATTTGCCCCTGTTCAGAGTAGCAAGGGTAGGACGCGCTTAACAAATGCAAATTAATTCGGCCAGTGCATTTGTATGATACGCACTCAACAAGCGTTTTGAGAGTTAGCTGTACTCCAGCCCTTGCAAAATACGCCGCCATATAGACACACTGATGTTTGTGCTTGTTGCCATGACGAATGAGAGCACCGAGAAATGCATGCAGAAATTTAGTTAGGAAATGCAAAGAGAAAAAAGCACTTGGACGTACGCGGGAGGATGATGCTGACGGAATTCGTCTGGTTGAGAACAAGGATCGTTGGCAATACCTTGTGATCACTTTCGACTTCCATAAAAGGTGGAAAACACTTTTAAGTAGTGCCTGAGATACTACTAGATTATCAGACCTGAAGATAGAGACAGTAAGTTCCCCTATAAACGTTGTTAAAAACCTACTAGTGCACACGACGTCACAACCCCCTGACCTCGCCAACATACATTTTTATTTTGTTCCCCCATCTGTTAAGCAGCCGCCACTTAGGATTGCTTCCCCTCATCCCTTCCATATTCCCAGCCCATCATAAGGTCCTATCGATATCACGTGATCTGTATAAATCGCAACGTCAGTGAAAGTTACTTTTCGTCCCTGTAAATTTGTGAACGAACATTTGTGGCCCGGAGCGTCACTAGAGGCGTGGCACCTTTGAAACATAAAGCCTCAGGCTCCTCGACTTCTTCGTTTTCATCTCTTTCTCTCTCTCTCTCTCTCTCTCTCTTTTTCAGCAAAGGAAGCGCGAAGTTAATATTTCACTGTTGAAAATCCTCCATGCAGATGGCAGTTTGCTCGCGTAAATAAACCACACAGCGGACGCGAGGTGCCGAGGAAAGGAAGACTTCCTAACATTTTCCTTCTCGCAAGACAGTGCCTTGTTCCACTTGCAACAGTGATT